GAACAATAACAGCCATGACCAACTGTGCTTAGGTTGCAAATGGGGCTACACAGGCTCTTGCAGCGAGGGTTCGCATCGCTCTACAACTACAAACTCCCAAGTCTGCAACAGCATGAACGTTTGGGTATGGATTCAATCCTAGCCAAGTGCTTGGGCTCAGACAATTCAGTTCCAAAACAACACAATGATGATCTAGAGGCGCGTGATGCGTATTGGGAATCAGTGCTGGGTGCTGACAACGCAAAGGATCTTCACTTCAAACTTCAAGGTGTTCGTTACTGTTCTGAATATCAATGATTTGTGACTTATGACTTGTGCACATTGGACATTATATTAAACCCGTTATGTTAAGTCAGTTGTTGTATGAAAGCATACCTGGTGACAATGACAGTGCTTTGTTACTGCTATATATATGTCGATAGCACTAAAAACACATATGTTTTCTTTTGGAAGAACATGTTTTCTTTTGAGTGCTCTTAGGCTCAGAAAAAGCATGGGAATTTCTCTCAAGACCTTCGACCCCATATCATCTGGGCCTAGTCATTTGTACTTTGACACCTGTGGAGCAACTTCTTCATTCACATTTTCGATGGCAAGCACATGAGACATGGCTTTCCCAGTTTGCCAAAGACCGACCACTTGTACTCATGGCAAATATGAAGAGATCTCCAGCAATGATTGCGCTGAACAAACTCAAACAAATCTTGATGGATAGTGCAGTGATACTGTCTCCATCGGATGCTTTGTCTGACAACTGCCAGCTACAGTGCGCAGTCTATTTGCATGAAGGCGCTTAATCATTTAGCAGAAGTTAGCTTAACATTGCTTTTGGTAGGCTATTGGCTATGAGGGTTTGGTGGGTATAGTCTAGTCTAGTCGTTTTTGTATGTAATGAATAACATAAACAATTGGATTCAATAAGACTAACATTGTTCATTGCTACCTGTAACAACTTGACACTTGGTTTAGCTTTCAGTTGTGTATTGCTTTTTTTTTGTAAATAGATTTTGCAAACGCATAACTAAAGAAAACACAAGGACATATTATACATCAATGTACTGCAATGCTACTTCTGCAGGCTTTGCTGGAGATGTTCCACCAGATTTCATCAAGAAGAAGTTCTGGGCGACTATATCCACGATGGGTCAGCTCTACAACCGACTTGTGCTGCCCTTCGGCGCCTCCCACTGAGTTTGGCAGCGTTAGTCGATGATTCTTTGACTATGTCAGATCGATGCAGTCTTGCTGACAATTACCTTCAACTTCCTGAATGCTGCTTGGATGAGTGGTTCTCAAAGCCAGTGATTGAATCAATTCGATCTGAGGGAGGACATCAAGCTATACTACCGGGGGGCTCTCTGCTGCACGATTTGGAACTTGCTTTCCAAGGCAAGACTACAAATATTCAGTTGGAGCTGAATTTTGCACGGTCAGCATCCATGCGATCCTGTATGAGAGGACGCAAACATTCTATCAGCTCTATGGTGTCAAAACATGTGGCGGCAGAGTGCAAGTTGTTCCACCTTCGTCAACGTGAGAATGAAGCCAAACGGATTGCTGATGGTGCAGCTGAATCAAAGCTTTCTGGTATTGCTGATGAAGGAGGGTATTCTATTGAACAATAAACATACATCAAGACCACAAACCATATAAACACCACATGAGAACACAAGGCTATGGACAACATATGACCCACATGTTACCGTTTTGTTCACATGTTGTTTAACCATTTGATGACTGTTAATTTAAATTTTGACATTCTATATTTTATTGTATTCACAACCTATTACCAAACCTTGAAGGACAAAAGCATTCGAGACAAACTGGCTTGAGCCTGTTCTTGAAGGACTTCTACATGCAGCACAAAATTGTGCAACATGATGACCATTGGTTTGCACAGCGGACACTCTTACAAAACATTATGACATTATGTTTGATATGTTTTTGTTTTTGCTGTTTGACTATTTAATATAATATCGTATCGTATGTTGACATATAATGCATTGCACTATACTGTTTTTGTTTTTATTTTTTTTTATCATAAGCGTTGATCATTATGTTTGATAAGTGTTTTAATGTATATATGTGTGTTTGTTTGTTGTAGTTAGGCTACAATGACAATTCAGGAAGACTATCTTTGCAGATGCGATGAAAACTTGGAAGTCAAACACTCCTGAGATGTGTCGTCTGAAGCAAGAGCTTAGCGCCAAGGCGAAGGCCATGAATGCAAACAACAATTCATCTTTCTACGATGCTGAACTACGACGACAGATTGATGAAAATGCAATTGCCCAGAAGCAAAATGATTTGGAGATCAAGCAAAAGAATTTGCTGAACATATGTTCTCAAATTGAACCACATCAGTCACATCGCTCTAAGCCTTCATCACATTGTCCAATTGCTTTGACTTCGTTTGCGTTGGAGACAGGTGCACTGGCGCCTACTGGTGGCAACTGTTATTTGCAGAGTGAAAGCGAAGATACACGCAAATCAACTGATTCAGTTCTTCAGCTGGTGCAGTCTCTAGAAGTTGATTTGGACAACATGCCAAACAGTGGCCATTACATTGCGGGCATTCATGGTTTGGGCGACAAAAAATTTGCCATCAGTGAGGCTTTGGTTGAAGCAGCTTCACTTGAAGTTGGGTTTGTTGAGAATTCACACAAGCAGTTCAAAGCAGCTCATGGGGATGTGACCAAGAAGCAGCCTCCCCTTATCTTTGATGCTTCTAGAAGTGTAGATTGCCCACGCCATTGTCAAGCATTGTTCGGTCGGCACTGCAAACTTCAGATCCAAGATTCATCAATGTATGCAAATACGATCGGCATGATTCAGTCTATGGTGAGAGTTCTGGCTTCCAGACGTTCAGTGAAGGTGGGCAAACAATTCCACATGGGTCCAGACAATCCTTGGCCTGCATTGCTGGTGTATGCAAGCGATGGTGAGACTTTGTTGCGTGCAATGCTTGCGTGCCGAGTGACATTCAACCCTTTGGATATGGATTTTATTGAATGTGAGGTCTGTGTGCATGATTCGAACCCAAATGTCATTGATCTGCGCTTGATCTTTGAGAAGCTGTTTGATGGATGCCATTGCCCAAGAGTTGACACAGCCAAAGACATGGCAGTCTTTTTCTCAAGGCTTCCAAGCGTTCCTAAATGCAAAGTATACTGGGATTATGAAGTTCTTGAGAAGGCATATGCAAACATTCGAATCAGATGTGACCGGCATGACTGCTCATCACCCGATATGATTGGCGAAGATAGCTTTTCAGTTCTCCTGTCGGACAGAAACACCAAAGCAAACAAGAACAAAGACTTGACCGAAGATGATATTGCAGGCTTGGAGACAGCGCACAAACTTCTGAGGAATTTGGTTGGGTCGAAGAAGACTTCTACTGCTGGCAATCACCAACGGAAGAAGGAAAATCAGTCAAACAACATTTTGGTGACGGCGAAGCCTAGCAAAAAGAGAAAACACTCAACCACTATTGACAATACACCAAGATCCTTGGTTGACAGTTGATATGAATTGTTTCACAATAATCATTAATCATATTGTTGTTGTTTATAGACTATACTTCTTAGGAACCGTTATTTGGTAGTTCTTCATGTTCATCTCTTGTTGACAGAGCATATTTGTTTATAACCAAACTCAAACTTCTGATATCACTTGTCTACTTAGGAGTCGATCCTCCAGTTGAGTGTCCAATCACTGGTGCTGACAGCGGTGAAGATGGAGGTGATGAGAACATAGATGAATTGGAAGAAGAGTGGAGCTCCTTGATTGATCAGCGATATGGACCTGCGCCTGTATCTTTGAAGACTCAACCTCAACGATCATCTTCAACAGCTGTGGCATCTTCATCATCGGCTGCTGGGGCGACATCAGATCGGCCACCAGAGCAGCTGCAGCTTCTGGAAGTGTACAAGGGAGTAAAGGATAGAATATTTCAAAGAAACGCTGATGGATCTACAAAAGCACTGGGTCCTTTAGCTATGTTTATTCAAATATTTTTCTTTATCTATATAAGTATAAGTATGTTTTGACATTTGCTAAAACTCAGGCCTAAGCACCTAACCAAACCTTTTATTTATGTGTATATATGTAGACTCAAAACCATCACTATGACGATGCCTAGGCAGAATCACTAGCTGGAAGCAGTCTGTGTCAATCACGTGCTACTTGCATAAGAATTGCAGCAAAGCCAAATCAATCAAGTCTTTGCCATTTGGATGTGAATTTCTTATGGTGCGCTATTTGCAAGCGGGACTACAGTTCGAAAGCAAAGATGATGGAAAACAACATATGGAGCTGTGTCTTGCTCCATATATCAGATTCAAATGTTGATTAATCTCTATCTTTTTTTCTCTGTGTGTGTGCAAAAAAAAAACAACTCAAATGTTTGATCATTCAGGTTTGATTCAATTGTGACTGGCAATTGCAACGCTGATCCAAACGAATCTATTTGATGGATGATGTGGCTGCGCTCTTGAGGCTTTTAGGTACGATAATTTGTTTAGCTTTGTTTGCACAAAGCACCCTGGCACACCGAGGGATATGTGTGTGTCCAACGACAAGCAGTCAAGAGGGAAAAAACAACATCATTGTCCTGACTATACTTTCTACCGGACGTCAATGTTTGCACATGCCGTGTGTATGCTTTGATTTGTATATATTATTAAATTGTTAAATCTACACTTGCTGTTCTAGCATATCAACAGGCTCAATTGCCCTTTAAGCTTTTGAATGTGTAGTGACCTTCAACTATCCTGTGCATGATGATGCAGCCAGCGGATGATGCATCCGTTGCGCCCTCACCAGCTGATGGTTTTGTGCCACCACCGTCGTACAAACCAAAAAGATGCAAATACTGCAGAGAGTGGTCAGTTGCACCAACACCTCTACCATCGGGAATCTATCCCAGCTGGGATCCTGTGATTCCGTGGCATGACGGTGCCTTTGGTTATGTTCTTCACTGTTTTCTGATTTGATTCTGCGAATCCCCTCATTTTCACATGATGTGAGCATAGGTGTGACATACACCACTTAGCACCAACAAACGCTGTTCGTGGCTCAAGAAAAGCATCGTCCGTTTTTTCCCTTGAAGGAAACTCAGGTTATGAGCCCAACGACCTGTTTTTCCATTTGAAGTCCACCCCTGTGGTCCAGGGTTGTTGGCCGCCATGAGTGGCTTCGCTGGGCGGCGGCGGCGCTCCTCCCGCGAAGGAGAGCGCCTGCAGGATCCTGAAGATCGAGAAGGGCGACTTCGAGTGGGCGCGGCAGATGAACGGCTGCAGGCGCTGCTGGAAGAGCGAGAGGGCAGAGCAGCATCGGTGCCGGCGAGGACGATCCCGAGGAGGACCTTTGAGCTATGGCCCCACGATTGAATTGGGACCACAACCGAGGGTTCTGGAATCTTATCCCATGGCTACCCCTCCCCCAATGAGTGGGGCGAATGTCAACCCTTTTTGGAGCACACAAGCACGAGCTCATCCTGGTGAAAGTGGGGTGGTGCCTGAGGAGATGCCGCAAGGGGAAGTCAGAAGGTCGCCAAACTATGTTGATGTGGAGGCCATCAGGGAGAAGGTGCTCAGGGAAGCCGAGAACCCCTTTGCAAAGGAGATCAAGAAGGCCACTGGTGGAGCAGAGTCATCATCCTTCGAGTCGGTGCCAAGTGCTGACCGAGAGCCTGGGCGGTCAACGGTCGGGGTGATGGGACCGGGCGGAGGAGGAAATGGGGGCGAATCGACTCGCCGCGATGGTCGAGGGTCTCAACCACATGGTCTTGAGCGTCCACCAGGTTTGCAGAAGGAGGGAGTGTGTGAGGGTCCGTTGAACAGGTCTGAACCGCCTCAGGGGACCGTGAATGAAGTGTTTAGAAGCGTGGAGTCACCACCTCTACCATCTCCTGGCAGCGATGGTGCTTCGCTGGCTTTCGGCGATTGGCTGACGGTGGCGATGCCTCTCATGTCAGATCTGTCATCCTCTGCGAGGGGTTGGTGGCAAGCAAACATCATGGAGGCGGAGGCGCTGTATGAGACTTGGCTGAAGTTGAAGCCGCTGGAGAGGCTGAGGCTTAAGGTTGATCGGCCTTTGCACCCCAGTTATGAACGAGTTGAGCACCGGGAGTGACTATCTTGTTGGGGGTTCTTCCCGATCAAGTTCGACCAGGGGGTTCAGCTGAGAGAACTGCGCTCCTCAAGAGCATCACCGAGCTGAAGGTGGGCAATGGGGCGGCAGACGTTTTGTCTGGAATTCGCCAATGGAGGCGATGGATCCAGCGTGCGCAGGAGTTGGGCCTGACTACACCGGACCCTCTGGTGCTGGTGCAAGTGCTGAACAGGGTCACAGAAGCCCTGGGTCGACATGGTGGTGCTCAGGTCTCATTCAGAATGGCAACAGCAAGGCAAGATCTTGCAGTGGATCAGTGTCCGACGATGGAATCCATCATGGAGTATGCGGAGTATGTGCAGGCGGAGGCTGAAGATCTGGCGCTGATGACTGGCTCTTCAAAGACGCCTGCAGCAGGTGCGAATGTGAACATGTCCACAGCTGGAGGGACAGCTCCAAAGGTGGCGGCATTCAACACCACGAGCTCTACAGAAGAGAAGCAAAAGGCCTCTTGCAAGTTCTGAGGGTCTGCTCAGGGCTGCAGGAGGGGGGATTAATGCACCTATGGGCATTCATGGGAAGGCATCAACAAGCAGAATCGGTGTTTTGTCTGCAGTGGTGAAGGGCACATGTCGCGAGAGTGTCCTACTCGACGTGAGCGAGATCGAAGGGATTCAAAGAAGGTGGCAAAGGTGAAGAATCCTATGCCCACCAAGGAGTCGCCAGTGAGTGACCTTGAAGCTCCAGATAAGCCGAGGGAGGAGAACGCCACTACGACTTCTTCCCAACAGTCCTCGGGCTCCTTGAAGAGCACACAGGTGTCAAGGAGTCGGGAGGGGGAGAAGGTTGCAGGTGGTGGAGAAGCTTCGACGGGAAGTGCAGAGTCGGCGACGGCATTGATAGCAGAAGCTGCAAGTTTGCTCAAATCATTGAGAGCGCTCAAGGCTTGCAGGCTGAGGCAGGTTTGCAGGATACAGCCTGACGCCGAGAGGGAGGGCGAAGTGGCCTTGTTGGATGGAGGTGCAACGCATCCACTGAGGATGGCGGAGGTCGGGGAGAAGAACCACCTTATTCCAGTTCAGGTGGAGCTCGCCCATGGGTCGACGACGCTGTTTCGAAAGGAGGGATGCAGCACATTGCTGTCTTTGGACGAGGTTGAGCCGATCATTCCATTGAGCTTGTTGGTACAACATGGCTTTCGGATTGACTGGTCGGTGAATGGATGCACAATCAACCATCCTCGGCAAGGGCCGATACTATGTTGGCTGCGGGGGGGTTGTCCAGTGATGAAAAGGATTGCAGCTCTTGCGATGCTCAAGGAGTTTGAGGAGCTGGAAAGGGGGCACTACAGCATCACGGCCGAGGACATCCCTGGGGTCCCGGGGGAGCTGTTGGAGTTCATGAAGGGCCAGTCATGGTGTCCGGCGGGAGATGATCTTCCATGGAACCGGAGGCAGAGGAGGATGCATCAGACTTCAAAGGGAATCATTGTGCACCTGTTCTCCGGCACCAATGTGAAGAGGTGGAAGGACTCGCTGCCTTCTGGGTACACCTGGCTGTTCGTGGACCCGCTTCTTGGGTCGAGGTATGATCTCCACTCACCTCAAGTGTGGGGATATTTGTGCTGGTTGGCCAAGCAGGGCCGAATCAAGGCAGTTTTGGGAGGTCCTCCACGCAGAACAGTCAGCAGGTTGCGGAATCGTGGGCCACCTGGACCTCGCAAAGTCAGAGCAAGAGGTGATCTGAGGTGGGGATTGGATGATCTAACTCCTAAGGAGGCTCAGATGGTCGCGAACGACACCACGCTGGTTCTCAAGCAGGTTGCGCTTTGGAAGCTGGCCAAACAGGGACAGCAGATGGGCCGATTGACAGGCTTCTTGCTGGAGTCGCCAAGGGATCCAGCATCCTATTTGGAGTCGGAGGAGGATCGGCAGAATCCATCTTATTTTGAGTGGCCTCAATTGCAACAGCTGCTGGAGGAAGATGAGACTATGAGGATGATCAACTTCGACCAGGGAGCGACGGGTCATCCACGGAGGAAGCCGACGGGGGTGTTGTCGAACTTGCCCATGCTGGAGCAGCTTGAATTATGCCAAGGAGGAGGAAACACCAACCCAGTCGGAGGGGATTTGAGTCAGAGGATGGCAGCATCGAGAAGCTGGTCAGAATGGTCGCCGGGCTTTGTCAAGGCCATCCAGCTGGCATTGAGGAGTATGCTTGAGGAGGATGAGAACTGCAAGGTGGCGCGATTGGATATGGACCAATGGCGGCGACATGTGCGGATGCAGCACACGCCCTTCAGGCGGGACTGCAGGACCTGCCTGGAAGCAATGGGTACGCAAAATCCACATCGGAGATCCAGGACAGCGTCTTCTGCATACACCTTGGCGGTGGACATCATTGGACCATTCCCAGTGGGGAAAGATCCTGCAACTGGAAGAATGGCCAAGTACGCTTTGTTGGGAACGGTGCCGTTGCCGGTGCCGGACCATCTGCCGGGGGAACCGGCCGAAGAAGAGGATCTCACTGAGGAGCAGGTGAGGGACGTGCCATCTTTGGATCAAGAGGACCTGGAGGAGGAAGACCTAGAACGTGATGGCCGTCAAGATCCACCAGAGTTAGAAGATCAGCAGTTTGTTGAGGAGGGTGAGGAGCAGGTGATTGGTCGGGAAGAGATCGATGAGCTTCGGAGGCCCCATCAGCTGCAGAACGTTACAATGGTGGAGGTGATGGAAGACAGAGGTGTGGATTCGCTCCTGGGAGGCTTGTCCCGACTTTATGCAAGGTTCAGGTGTCTGGGCATCAATGTGATGAGATTGCACAGCGACAGGGAGAAGGGCATGCTGTCGAGGAGGGTGTCAAAATGGTGCGGCCACAGACACCTGGTACAGACCTTCACGCAGGGCGACGATCCACAGGCCAATGGCCGTGCAGAAGCAGAAGTGCAACAAGTTAAGAGACGCATGAGGCTGATCATCCATCAGGCACAAGTGGAACCAGAACTGTGGCCAGGAGCGATTCGCCATGCGGCAGAGGAGAGATGCAGACAGCAGCTCAGCAGACTAGGTGTTCCGGTGCAACCAATGCTACGGTTTGGGTCGAAGGTGGCAGTTCGCACGAAGAGATGGCACAAGGCTGGTCAGTTGGTCAACCCGTTCATCTCCATGCAGCTGGTTGGTCCAAGCCCACTGATGACAAGCGGTTGGGTGGTTCGCCATCAAGGTCGGGTTCAACACGTTCGAACGGCTCTACAGCCATCTCCAGAAGCGGACCAAGCGGCTCTCGAGCTCCAGGAGATTGATGCAGACATCATTCGCAGGAGAGTGACTGGAAAACAAAGTTTGGATCCTCACCCATTGCAGGACGTGATCTCACACATGTATGAGGAGGTGCAGCCTGCACAACAACCAGCCCTGTCCGCGTTGTCCAACTTCAGGACAGGGGGGGGACAGATCCAGACCCAGGAGCTTGCCTGCAGGTCGAAAACAACGGGAGCTGTGGAGAGTCGGCAGAAGGGATGGTGAAGTGCCTCGAGTGCGATCTTTGGCAACTGGGGGAACATCGAGGAGCTGGATGTCGATTTTGTGAAGGAGATCTGCCGAAGGAGCAGGATGGGCTGCAGGTTCCGGGGGAGGAAGCTTTGGATTTGCAAGCCTGTTCATGGACTCAGGCAGTGCAGTGGCATGAGGAAGAAGTTCGTAGTCACTGGCAGTTGAAAAGAATGTGGCTGGATCAGTTGAATCAGGTGGCGGTGGGAGCACAGCAGGGCAGCGAACACGGTGGATGGCTTCAAGTCCTGGAAGAACAGTTGATGGTCCGGGAGGAGTGCCTTCAACGCCAACATGGAGCTCTTGAGAGTTGGAGGATGGCGGCATTGCAGGCGGCGGGGGGTTCAGGAGAAGGGGAAGAGCAGAAGCCCTCGCTGGTCCTTCAGACCTACACGGTGTCGCTTGCCCAAGTGCGAAGGGAGTTGCACAAGTGGGTCAAACCCTTCAAGGATGAATATGTCTCTCTGTCCACTACTACCGGAGCGATCTTTCCAACCACAGAGGAGGCTTTGAAGAAGGAT